CCCCCCCCACCTCCGCCTCTGCTGTCTGCTTCTGGCATGCCAGTGTCTTACAAGTTCTGGTTGTGTGTATTTTTGGCACTCTTCCCTTTGGCACTTTTTGGCATTGCCCACCCCTGGTTTAGAAAGAATTACATATATTTTAATGATCCATGAAGTTAATTAACTCCCTCACTGCTGCCTGAATAGAAATGCTGCTTCCACTGCCAGGCAATTGTCTTTAAATTTGGGGTGAAGCAGAAATCAAAGTGGGGTGCGACTGCAGCAGCGCAGTCCCCTTGGATCCAGCCCTGGCTGAGAGACCTGTAGGGGAAAAGGAGACTAGAAATGAGGATGGGAAGGGATGGAAGGAAGAAGTTATATAATGGTAACTACTTTCCCATTTCACGGTCGAAAAGCAGGACTATAATGTCATGGTTGCTCATTTCATTCTCCAAATTGATCTTCCTACTCTGTGATTACAAGTGTAAGTGAGAAAAAAATCTGTATTTTAAAATGTATCTATACTACAGCCCCCTTTCAAGCTCTTTTATTTTAACTTGGAATATATAGGCAGCTCCCTGAATTTGAACTAGAAATTCAAACCCATCATGAGCTTTAGATTTGTTCTTTAATAAGTTAATTATAAAGACCCAGTCTGTTTCTTTGACAGTACCTGCCCGTAGAAATTAAGTTTTAAAGAAATGACACTATTTCCAGATAGAATCACTGGGAGGCTTGTAATTGCTTGTGGCTGTGCTGCCACATTAACCTTTCCTGCTACTTATTTCATAAATATCTTGGGAGTATAAATATTTGGAAGGAGAACTACCTTGGTTATTATAAACTGAAAAGAGATGAGTTCATCTGTTCATACAGTAACTGATTCTTCCATTGATGAGCTGTTGCAGCAACATTAGTTTGAGAAGTGTAACCCAGACTGTGCTGTACAAGGGCTGCTCAAGTTGCTAAACCTATTTGCTGTGCTGTGATAATAGTGATAGTGCCTGAAGAAAGAGAGAGTAAACAACTTTTTAGACACTTCTGTGCCATGTGTTGTAGTGGAATAACTGAAATCTCTTATTTTTTTTAAATCATGGTGTTAATTTGGAGTGAGGAAGAACTAACATTGAATCTGTGGCTGTTGTAACTTAAAATTTATAACAAAATGATTTGTAAATGCTGTGCACTTTGTTTTGGGGGGCTTTCTGTTTGGTTGATTGTTTTTTAATGCCACTAATAGTGAGGTCTCTTCCTTGAATTTTACACTTTTACCATAGGTGAAAAAAAAATATTGAAAATGAGGGCCCCGATACTGTAACCACTTGAGAACAGATGCTTGACTTCACGCAACTGAATTTTCATGTGAAGTAAATAGGACTACTTGTGCCCTTAAAATGATGCATGTGCCTGAGAACTTGCTACATCAGAAGCTAAAGTTTAACTTTTATTAAGAATCAAAACTGTTTCAGTATTAACAATGAAAAGATTGTTTTAGACTTTAAACATATAGTCAATAATTGTAGTGTACTTCACACAGATCAACATTCATAAAAATACTGACCTAAAATTGTCTTTAGCGGTTTATGGCTATAAAATTGGAAGAAAGTAAACTGGCAACATGAAATAAAAGGTTTTAATTAATCTAAGTTTGAAATTGAGAAACTAAAAAACCATCCAGCAGGATTTTAACAGAATCAGAAACTGAAAAAACATTCAGGATTCTGATATGCTCAGTAAACTCAGATGTGAGGGCAAGAAATGAAAAAAAAAGTTGAATTAAAAGAATCAGATAGCAAGAATAGGAACAAAATGGAAGACAAGAATGATTAAAGTAAAGAAGTAAGAGGGGCAGCCATGGGAAGGCTTTAAAAAAATCATAGAATCATAGAAAATTAGGGCTGGAAGGGACCT